GGCGGCCAACTGAGACCTGGAGGAAGCAGAAGGCCGGCCGGGGAGGAGCCTGTTAAGGACGCCAAGGGCAACCGTGGCTACTAGCAGGCTGTCCCCGCCCGCGACCCAAAGAGGAAGGAGGCCCCGATGGAGAGCTGGCCTCCGCGGCGGCGGCGGGTCCGGCGGGGCCCCCTCCCGGCCCCCGGGCTGCTGGGCTTGATCCTGCTCCCCTGGACCCTGCCGCTGGCAGGCGCAGGTACGCGGTCCTCCCCTCCTCCCGCGCTCTCTGCCTCGCGCACATCACAGCCGCTTTCATCCGCCGCGCGGCTAATTCCCCGGACCCGTCTCTGGGGATTTGCTGGTTGCGTTTGAACATTGCAGACTTCACAGGGGAAGCCTTCGGGGACCGGGAGATGTTTAGCTAATGCCTTGGCGAGGTGGCTTTTGAAGAGGCGGGGCCGCGCCCCCCTCTCGCTGCTGGAACAGCCTCCCTCCCGGCTGCTCCTGACCCTCTGGCCCCTCAGCGAGGTGGGTGGGCGTTGCTGCGGGGGGTGGGGGTTGGTGTGGGATTTTTTGGGGGGGGGCGGTTTTGGGGGCCGTTTCTTCCGGGCGGGGAGCTCCCAGGAGTGTCCCCCACCAGGGCTGCCCACCTTCCCACCTTGGCTCGGGGGTCTCTGAGGCTGTCTCACCTGGGCAGTGCCCACTTTCCTGTAGCCCCAGCATCCGCCCACCCCGCTGGGTAGGCTGGGTGCAGTCTGGATGCTTTCCTTCTCATTCACCTTGATTTTTATGAGCCTTCCAGGACCTGCTCCCACCTTTCTGCTCCATCCTCTGCCTTTCATTCATACCATAAGCAATAACAGCTGTATTTGTCAATGTATTTTTTTTAATGTATTTATTTGGCTGTGTTGGGTGTTAAGTTGCGACATGCGATATCTCTAGTTGCAACATGTGAATTCTTAGTTGCGGCGTGTGGGATCTAGTTCCCTGACCAGAGAATTAACCGGGGCCCCCTGCATTGGGAGAGCAGAGTCTTAGCCACTGAACCACCAGCGAGGGTTGACATCTACTCTTATTATCATAAATTAGCCTCTCTGCGCATATACGCTGGGCTTTACACTTGTACTCAGGCCCCTTTGAGGCACCCTTGGGGCACTGTTCCCACTGGCACCGTGTAAGCACTGAGAAATGGAGGCCCAGAGCAGCTAGATAGCTGGCCCACAGCCTAGAGGGTGAGTAGAGGCCAGGTTCAGCTCTGCACTGTGGACTCCAGGGGGCCTCTTGCCTTCCTCCTCCCCAGAAGAGACCCCCGCACACTCCAGTAACTGAGTAAAAGAGACTTTTTGGGGTGCTGCTGTGAAAAGTGCTGTTTGTAACTGTCTTGACCACGAACAAACAACATATTCCCCGCCCCCGCCCCCAGGATTGCAGCAAACATTGTACCTGGGAGAAACTCTGCTCTTTCACAAGAGGTGGAAACACCTTGCCGTCTCCTCTTGGAGCAGCAGACAGCACCGCAGTACTCCTGGTCCTTCCCCTGCGGGTCCTGGGTTCTGTCTCTAGGCTATGCCGTACCCCTCCCCACCTTCTTGTCTCTGTGCTTGGAAAGTCTGATGGAGGGAATCCAGTTTCTCTCACATCCCCCAAACCTCCCCTGACCTCACCTACCCGCCTGGTGCAGCCAGCTCCCAGACCCAGCCTGCAGCCTCAGCAGTGTCCATGGGGGACCTTGGGGAGCGTCGTGGTTGAAGCTTCGGCTCAATGCACTGTTTCCCTGGACCACCCGATGTAGGGTTGTGTGCAGGCCAGGGTGTGCAGAGTCTGGATCTGAGCTCTACTTTGGATCTGGGCCCCTGGGCAGGTTCTTTCTGTTTTCCCCCAATATTTATATTTCTTGTTTATTTGGCTGCAAGGGGTCTTTGTTGTGGCATGCGAGATCTTTAGCTGTGACATGAGAACTCTTAGTTATGGCATGTGGGCTCTAGCTCCCGGACCAGAGATCGAACCCAGTCTCTCTGTATTGGGAGTGAGGAGTCTTAGCCCTTGGTTGTTGTTGATGTTTAGTCACTAAGTCATGTCCTACTCTTTTTGCAACCCCAGGGACTGTAGCCCACCAGGTTCCTCTGTCCATGACCAGGGATTGAACCCTTGTCTCCTGCAATGGCGGGCAAATTCTTTACCACTGAGTCACCTGGGAAGCCCTTTAGCCACAGGAGCACCAGGGAAGTCCCCTTGGGCAGGTTCTTAATGTTGCTCAACGGCCTCACCTGTCAAGCGGCTGCAATAGTAATGCCTGAAGGTGCACGTGATAAGAGCTGAGAGAATGTCAGCCACCTGCCTGCCTAGCAGAGCCAATCGACATGTAAGATTCAGTTGGCTGGCTCTACCCCTTGGGGAGCCTCTGGGCTCCTTGGGGTCACTCTGACCTTTCCAGAGGTTTCTAGCAACACCCTGGGATGGTATCTCAGGACAGTTCTTGCTCCCAACCCTCTTCCTCCTGCTCTCCTCTGATCTCTCTGCAAAGTCTGCTTTTCTCAAAGGGTCTAGCGGCTACCTCCGGTCTCAAGGTCACCTCCTTAGAGGAGAATCATCTGAGTCTGAGGTGCAGGTGGGTGGGTGGCAGGCACAGCACGAATAAAGGCTGGGAGGCCAGAAGGCAGAGCCCGGGGGAGGGAATGGCGAGAGGTTCAGACTCGCTGGGGAGGAGGGTCTCTTAGTGGAGCTGCGGGATACGATTCCCACTGGGATGTGGGTCCAGGTGGATCATAAACGCCTGTCAGGTAGGAGTGCAGATGCCGTTCCAATGGGGCATTGTCAGTGCTTCCTCTTTTAAAATTGCAAAATAGAATACATACGCAGAAGAGAACCATAAATATTATAAAGCAAAGTCTGGCGTGTCTACCACCCAGGTCAAGAAAGAAAACATTTTAGTGCCCCAAAGCCCCTGGACACCTCCCAAGACACCCCCTCTCCCCCTCTCAGAGGTAACACCATCCTGAATTTAGGGCAATTGCTTCCTGGCATTTTTTTTTTTTTTTTGTACTTTTATCCTTTGGTTTGTGTCCCTAAACAATATAGATTAGCCTGGCTTTGTTTTTGAACTTTGTATAGTCCGAACGATGTTGTGGGTGTTCTTTGCGACCTACTTCTTTCACTCAACATCTTTCTAAAATGTATTTATTTACCCACTTTTGGCTGCACTGGGTCTTTGCTGCTGTGGGCAGGCTTTCTCTAGCTGGGGCACGTGGCACAGGCCCAGCTGTGGTGCACAGGCTCCTCCCTGCCGTGGCTTCTCCTGTTGCAGAAAACAGGCTGTAGAGTGCGGGGGCTCAGTAGTTGTGGCACACGGACTTAGTTGCCTCTCCATACGTGGGATCACCCTGGACCAGGGGTTGAACCTGTGCCCTCTGCAGTGGCAAGCAGATTCTTAACCACTGGACCACCAGGCCAGTCCCAACATTATGTTTTTTAAGCTGCATCTGGTTGACAATGTGGCTGAAGTTTGTTTATTTTGGTTGGTAAAGAGCAGGGGTCCCAAACCCTGACCAGTGGGGGTTAAATCCAACCCACTGCCTTTTTGTATGGAGTTATGAATGTATTTTTCTAATGGTCAGAAAAACATCAAGAAAAGAATACATATTTCACAGTGTGAATATGAAATTATACAAGAAAGTATAATTTTATACTAAGCCCTCTGTATCTGCCGGTTCTGCATCTGCGGATTTAACCAAAACCAGATCGAAAATATTCGGGGGGGGGAAAATTTCCAGAAAGTTCCAAAAAGCAAAACTTGAATTTGCACTTCTCTTGGCAACTATTTATATAGCTTTTACATTGTATTTACAACTACTCACATAGTACTTACATTGTATTGTCTTTTTTCTTTATATTTTGGCTGCGCTGAGTCTTAGTTGTAGCATGTGACATGTACAACTCTTAATTGCATGAGTGAGATCTAGTCCCCTGAACTGGGAATCAAACCTGGGCCCCCTGCATTGGGAGCACAGAGTCTTGGCCACTGGACCACCGGGGAAATTCCTGTATTAGATACTATAAGTGATCTACAGATGATTTAAAGTGCAGCTAACCTTTGGACAGCATACATTTGAACTGCTCAGGTTATACACATTTATACACAGGTGTTTTTCAGTAGTAAATACTATAGTAGTAAATACAACAGCTACACTGTTGGTTGACTCTGAGGATGTGGAACCTTGGATACGGAGAGCCGCCTGTAAAGTTACACTTGGATTTTCAACTGTGCACGGTTCAGTGCCTCTAACCACGTTGTTCAAGGGTCAGCTGTATATGGGAATCTTGTACCATTTTACAAATCCCATGTCATTATATTATGAAATATAATTTTTGTAGTTGTCATTTAGTCGCTAAGTTCTGTCCTACTCTTTGTGACCCCATGGACTATAGCCTGCCAGGCTCCTCTGTCCATGGGATTTCCCACGCAAGAATACTGGAGTGGGTTGCCATTTCCCACTCCACAGGATCTTCCCGACCCAGGCATCAAACTCGAGTCTCCTATATTACATGCAGGCAGATCCTTTACCACTGAGTCACCAGGGAAGCCCCATAAAATATAATACAGACACAGAAAAGTACAATATGTATTAAATAAATACAGTCCCATGTGTCCACCATCCAGCTCAAGAGAGAGAATATCCCAGTGTCCCAAAGCCCCAGTACAGGCTTCCCTGGTGGCTCAGTGGTAAAGAACCGACCCGCCAGTGCAGGAGATTTGGGTTCAATCCCGGGTCAGGGAGATCTCTTGGAGAAGGAAATGGCAACTCACTCCAGTATTCTCGCCTGGAAAACCCCATGGACAGAGGAGCCTGGTGGCTTACAGTCCATGGGGTCGCAAAAGGGTCAGACATGACTGAGCAACTGAACAACAGCAGCAAAGCCCCTGCATCCCCATCACTCTCACGACACCCTGTCTCTTGAGCATCTGCGGATTTCGGTGTCTGTAATGGGTGCGGGAACCCGTCCTCCCTGGAGAGTGAGTGATGACTGTGTTCCCATTTCCGTGTCCATAAATAAAGTTTTATTGGAACACAGCCATGCCTATCCATTCATGGCTCATTTATGGCTGCTTTTGCCCCCACAACAGCAGAGCAGAGTAGCTGAGATAGAGACCATATGGCTCACAAAGCGGAAAATATTTACTCCCTGGCCCTTTACAGAACACGTTTGTCAACCCCTGCTGTGGAGCGTCCCACTGAATGAACATACTGCGATCTATTTAGTTATGATTGACGTTCCAGGTGTTCCCATCTCGGAGTGCTCACGTGTGGTCTCCAGGCACATGTGTGTTCCGTGCCTCCAGTGGGTATGTTCCCGTTAAGCCTGCTTCTCTCTGCACTTTCCTCCTCCCTGTGTGAACTGCGAGCTTCGAGAGGACAGGACACACGTGGACTTACTTGGCTTCGAATCCTTGGCTCCCAGCGCGGAGCCTGGGGCCCAGAGGATGCTCAGGAAATAGTCACAGTAACAGGCAGAATTCAGCTCCCAGCCAGACAACCCCCCGGCGGAGCGCTGAGCAGGGTGATGTCATGCCACCAGGAGAGGAGTGAGAAAACCCTCCTGACTTGTGACCGAGGGAGGGGGTGCCCGAGAGCCTGGAGACAGGATCTGACCCCCTCCAGCTTCCCTGCCCGCTCTGAGCCCCAGCTTCCCTCCCTTCGCAGGCATCTTGCCCGTGGCAATATTAAGGCATGTCCAGGACACCGATGACCCCAGGGCGGGCACCTGGTACCCTTCAGGGAAGGTCTGTGGGCCTCAACCTTGGGGACAGGCTGTCTGGAGAAGGTGGGGGATCTGGCAGGTACCTGTTCCCACACCCCCCCACCCCTACCCCAGGCCCTGTGGGCTTCTGAGGAAACACAGCAGAGCCAGGGTGGGGGGCCCCTTGGAGGCTCTGGGCTCGTCCCTGCTTGCTGCTGATGGGGAGGTTGTGGGCAGTGGGCAGGAGGAAGGCACCAAGTGGGTGCAGTCCAAGCCCCAGGGCAGGTGTGCCCTCCCATCGGGCAGCCCGTCCTCGGACAGTCAGGGGAGGCACTCACTCCAGCGTTGGTCATAGGGTCCAAGGACACGTGTCTGAAGGCAAGTTCATACCTGGCCACACACACCAGATTTAAAACATTTGTTGCTGTTCAGTCGCTCAGCCGTGTCTGACTCTTTGCGACCCCGTGGACTGCAGCAAGCCAGGCCTCCCTGTCCCTCACCTTCTCCCAGAGATTTAAAACAGGCACACTCTCTAAATCAGAACCTCCCCTTCTCAGACCTGTCCTAAGGAGCTGGGGGCCCGGGAGACAGCTCCTGGTCCTTTGGAGCACAGCTCAGCCTGGCTGCCAGCAGCTGGTTCCCTGCAGAGCACCTCTCTCTGCCCTGCCCCCTGCCCCTGCCCTGGGCTGCCCTTTCCTCCCACCCCCTGCCCACACCCCACTTCCGAGCCACACTGACTGCCTGCCCCGGAGCTTTTGCTCCTGCTGGTCCCTTGGCCTGAAAGGTGTCCTCGCACTTGCCCACCTCCTGACTCCAACCTGTTGTTCAAGGTCAAACCCTGGTGCTCTCTCCGGTGCCCCTTCGGGTCCCCTCTTTCAGCCCCTGACAAGCCCCGCCTTGCTCCCCAGAGTGTTCACCGCTGGTTCTGAATGTGCAGGAGCTCAGAAGTGTGGGACAGGACTGAGCTCACCTGCGGCAGGTAGAGGATAGAGGCGGCCCAGGAACAGGTATTCAACTTCTGGGGGTGGGCTGTGTAAGGAAGAGGGCAGGGTGAGGCTGGAGAGGAGGGGTCTGCAGGGTGGGTAGGAGCTTTGGGGAGGTGAAGATTTAAAAGAAGTCGGGGTAAAGGTGATCTGGCAAAGGCGTCCCCAGGAAGGAGTTAGTGTGTTGTCCTCCAGAAGCATTTATATTTTAAAAGGAGGCTGGAGCTGTTTGGGGGCGGGTACTGAATCCCACGTAATGAAACCACCGATGCGAGGGTTTCAAGCTGCTGAGGAAGGCTGTTTAGAGCTCTCTAGTATTTCTCTCGTCCTCTCCCTAACAGGAACTGTGATCATGTCATTTCCCCATTTCGAAGCCCGCAGAGGTTCCCCANAGGAAAGAGTTAGTGTGTTGTCCTCCAGAAGCATTTATATTTTAAAAGGAGGCTGGAGCTGTTTGGGGGCGGGTACTGAATCCCACGTAATGAAACCACCGATGCGAGGGTTTCAAGCTGCTGAGGAAGGCTGTTTAGAGCTCTCTAGTATTTCTCTCGTCCTCTCCCTAACAGGAACTGTGATCATGTCATTTCCCCATTTCGAAGCCCGCAGAGGTTCCCCAGGTTTCTAGGTCAACATTCAACCCCGTCTCCCCCTGGTCCCCACCCGAACCCTTTCTTTCAACTCCACCAGGGCTCTGGAGCCCCCAAACTCCCTGTCCTGGCGCAAGGCTTGTAGAAGCTTCACCAGAGAGCTTCCTTGTGCTTAAACCCCCTCGCTTGGACTCTCCCCTTTAAACCTGGCTCCTACTCTTCCTTCAAAGTTCAGCTCAGTAAAGAGGTGGGAAAGAAAGATCAAAACGCTCACAGCTGTGATACCTGTCGGGGGAGGACTGCACACAAGTTCCAAGGCCTCCTTGATCCCTCACTGTGGCTTCTAGAATGTACACAGGGAGCGTGTTACACGCTTTTATAATGGAAGGGGGTGTCCTGAAGAGTTCTAATTTAAAAGACAAAGTGCCGGCTCCCTGGGTTGCCTCTCCAGGAAGCTCCTGCCCGCTGCCCGCTCTGGCCGGGCTGGTTCCGTTCCACTAGGCTTCTGTCACCCCCGAGACTTCCCTTTATCTCACCACTTTCAGTTTTGTTGGGCAGCCCCCTTCCCAGCGGCAGTGAGACTTTGAGGGGCTGCAGACGCCTTGTTGACGGGGGCGTCCTGGTGGGGTCTCTCCCCTCACTCCGTTTCTCTCCTTTCAGAGACAGGGAGCAGCACCTACTCCACCTGTGGGCTCTCCCGCACCTTCACCCCGTCCTGACAGCCTTCTCTGAAGGTAAAACAGGTTGTAAAGGGAGAAACAGTCCCACGTTCCCCCAGGCCACACTCTCAAATGAGCCCCCAAGTATGAGCAGCTTGCCTTTCAAAACAAGCCAGAAGGGAAGTGACTGCTGTAAAAATGCCAATTAACACCAGTGAAGCTTAGACATTTCTGGACTAAACACTCGACGGTCTGCCCTTGCTTGTGTCCCCACGTGGCCGCTGTGCACCCAGGGGCCAGAGTCTGGAGGCCTGAGAACAGGATGTGGCGGAGGCGGAAACGCCCTCCCCCCACCCTCAGGCAAGCCACATCCGTGAGCATCTTTGTCACTCGGAGGTGTTGAAAGATGTGACAGCCAGTCTGATGGCAGTGTTCCGGGGGCATGAGCGCTAAAAAGCTCCAGGATACACACGCTCTGTTCAAAGACTGCCTTCCAGCGCCCCCTCCGCGCTTCTCCCTAATCAGCCGCTGGGTCCATGCACCTCGGTGTTTGATGCGCGTGCCCTGAAGGACTCGGCCGTTTTTCGGTGGCGTCCTGGGATTCGTGCTCGGGCGAATGGCCAGAGCCCCGTGATAAAACCAGCAGCCCCACACCTGCAGCCCTTCAGAAGGGCCTGGAAAAACGGGCCCGGCTCTGAGAGATGCCAGAACTAAATTGGAGGGCAGAACTCCTGCCTAAAAGAAAGACCGTGGGAACGGCTTTCTTCTGTAGCCGGAAAATCAAAGTGTTTTCATTTAAAATCAACCTAAGTTGGAATGGATACCTTTGATCACCACCTCTGGGCTCTCAGAGCCTTGGCTCGGTGCCCTAGAAAGGATGGTGTTCCGGGCAGAGGGGGAAGCTGGGGCCAGGGCCTGGCTCAGGGTTGGTGGGAGAGAGGAACAGAGAGTGGGCCAGGGTGGCTGGATCAGGGGCGGTGCTGGGGAGTGAGGGGTGTCGCTACTGCCATGGGTGGGGTGGGCGGGCTCTGGCTGGCCTTGCCACAGGACCAACTATGCAGGACTAATGGGGCCCACCGGTTTCCATTTCCTTCTCCAAGGGAATCTTCCTGACCCAGGGATCGAACCTGGGTCTCCTGCATTGCAGGCAGATCTTTACCGTCTGAGCTATAGGGAAGTCCCATCTGCCTGTTAGATGACCCAAATTTAGGGGAAGGGCCTCTGAATTTTTGTTTCCCTTTAAAAGAGGGCAGTTCTTTCATGTGAAAAGTGTTTTCTCTTTTGCTTACTTTGAGATTTTAGAATGGTTGCCTAGAATTGTGGTTAACCGGTTAGGGCTTTGCTGGGGGCTCAGTGGTAAAGAACCCTCCTCGTGCCCTGAAGGACTCGGCCGTTTTTCGGTGGCGTCCTGGGATTCGTGCTCGGGCGAATGGCCAGAGCCCCGTGATAAAACCAGCAGCCCCACACCTGCAGCCCTTCAGAAGGGCCTGGAAAAACGGGCCCGGCTCTGAGAGATGCCAGAACTAAATTGGAGGGCAGAACTCCTGCCTAAAAGAAAGACCGTGGGAACGGCTTTCTTCTGTAGCCGGAAAATCAAAGTGTTTTCATTTAAAATCAACCTAAGTTGGAATGGATACCTTTGATCACCACCTCTGGGCTCTCAGAGCCTTGGCTCGGTGCCCTAGAAAGGATGGTGTTCCGGGCAGAGGGGGAAGCTGGGGCCAGGGCCTGGCTCAGGGTTGGTGGGAGAGAGGAACAGAGAGTGGGCCAGGGTGGCTGGATCAGGGGCGGTGCTGGGGAGTGAGGGGTGTCGCTACTGCCATGGGTGGGGTGGGCAGGCTCTGGCTGGCCTTGCCACAGGACCAGCTATGCAGGACTAATGGGGCCCACTGGTTTCCATTTCCTTCTCCAAGGGAATCTTCCTGACCCAGGGATCGAACCTGGGTCTCCTGCATTGCAGGCAGATCTTTACCGTCTGAGCTATAGGGAAGTCCCATCTCCCTGTTAGATGACCCAAATTTAGGGGAAGGGCCTCTGAATTTTTGTTTCCCTTTAAAAGAGGGCAGTTCTTTCATGTGAAAAGTGTTTTCTCTTTTGCTTACTTTGAGATTTTAGAATGGTTGCCTAGAATTGTGGTTAACCGGTTAGGGCTTTGCTGGGGGCTCAGTGGTAAAGAACCCTCCCGGAGGAGGGCATGCCAACCCACTCCAGTAGTCTTGCCTGGAGAACCTCATGGACAGAGGAGCCTGGTGGGCTACAGACCATGGGGTCGCAAAGAGTCTGACATGGCTGAGCGACTAAGCAGAGCCAGTGCAGGAGACATGGGTCTGATCTCTGGTCCGGGCAGGTCCCACACGCCGCGGAGCAGCAGCCCGAGCACCACAACGATGGAGCCTGTGCTCTAGAGCCCAGGAGCCGCAGGTACTGAGCCCAGGTGCCCCAGAGCCTGCGCTCTGCGACAAGAGAAGCCACTGCCGCGAGAAGCCTGCAGGCCGCGACGGAGAGTACCCCTACTCACTGCAACTAGGGAAAAGCCCGAGCACACGAAGACCCAGCACAGCCAAAAATGAGTAAATAGATTCATTTAATTAAAATAAGAGAGTTGGGGGGCTAGGGACTTCCCTGGCAGTCCACTGGCTGAGACTCTGCGCTTTCACTGCTGTGGGGGGAGAGGTTCCATCCTTGGTTGGAGAACTAAGATCTCACATGTTGCAGTGCGACCAGTTACAGAGAAAGACAAAAATAAAGAGGGTGGGGTTATTGGCTCAAAGAGACTCAGCTTAAAATCCCATCTCCACCACCAGGCTCCCCTGTTGGCTCAGATGGTAAAGAATCTGCCTGCCATGCAGGAGACCCAGGTTCCAACCCCGGGTTGGGAAGATCCACTGGAGAAGGAAATGGCAATCCACTCCAGTTCTCTGCCTGGAGAATCCCATGGACAGAGGAGCCTGGAGGGCTACAGTCCATGGGGTTTGCAAAGAGTCAGACACGACTGAGCGACTAACCCTTTCCACTACTATTAAGTAACTGTGCTGATTGGACAAACCTCTCCAGTCTCTGAGCCTCAGTTTTCTCCCCTGTGAAAGGAAACACGCCCAGCAGAGGTTAGTTCTTATCACAGGCTTGACTGCGAAGCCTGAGGGTCTGTGCAGTATAAACAGAACGTGTGCACACAGGAGCAGCTCGGGGAGGGACTGAGCGAGCCCTGCACACCTCGGGGATGACTGCACAGTCTGTGGAGAAGGGCACAGGAGGGCGTGCTGGGCAGGGGNACTGCCAACCAGCTCTCAAACTCACAGTTCAAGCACCCACAGATTCAAAAGAAGAACCGGAAAAGGAAGGAATCAGGTGCCAGCGGGTGGTAGATAAATTCTTTCCCAACCAGGGCAGCAGACACGTGGGTAGGATGGGGGAAGGGCAGCAGGAGGCTTCTGGCGGGGAGGGCTCTTGGTCACACACTGCTCAGCCCATGGGGCAGCCTCAAGGGCCAAGCCCAGGATCCACGCCCCAGGGTGTCGCCTACCCCCATGTCCAGCCCAGCATAGGGCCCAAGGCGTCAGAGAGGCTTGGGCAGGAGGCACGGGGCCCTCGGGGGGTCCCGTCATGCCCGGAGACTACCCCGTGCTGCAGTGCCCTTTGCCGAGGGCCTGTCACTTACATGGGCAGAAGAGTCAGGCTGGCATTTGCCCTTCCAGGTTCCCAGCAAGGACTTAGGACTGGTCTGGCTTCCCGCCTCCTGTCACTGGGGAGAGACAGCCCAGCTCTGTGTCAGGCGTGCTGTGTTCTTGGACCCATTTTATTGCATGACAACCCTGTGAGGTTGGCCTTGCTGTTCTCTTCTTGTTGCAGGGAAGACACTGAGGTTCAGACAGGTAAAGGCACTTGCCTAAGTCTACACAGCTTTTTAAAAAAAGATTTATTTTTATTTGGCTGCGCTGGGTCTTAGTTGCGGCACACGAGTTCTTTGATCTTTGTTGCAGCGTGTGGAATCTTTTAGTTACAATGTGCAGGCTCTAGTTCCCTGACCAGGGATCAAACTCGGTCCCCTTGCAAGGGGAGCATGGAATCTTAGCCACTGGACCACCAGGGGAAGTCCCAAGCTTGCACAAGCTTCTAATGGCAGAGCCAGGATCTGAACTGAGGCTGGCTGCCTCCAGAAACCGGTCTTTTCCCAAACACCTCCTGCCCCCTCATTTCTGGTCAGGCCCCTGGCTTTCTAGCAGTCCTTGGAGCTGCCGATAAGTGAGGGAGGAGGAGGTGGTTGTTGTTTAGCCACTAAGTCCTGTCTGACTCTTTGTGACCCCCTGGGCTCTTTTTTCCCATGGGATTTCCCAGGCAAGAATACTGGAGCGGGTTGCTATTCCCTTCTCCAGGGGATCTTCCCGATCCAGGGATCGAACCCACGTCTCCTGCATGGGCAGGTGGGTTCTTTACTGCTGAGCCACCAGGGGAATCTGATGGTGGAGGTACCATCCCTGAAAACACCATCTCCCGCAAAGCAGGAGTGGGCGGACTTCGTGGGGGTAGCTCGGGCTGCCCAGTGCAAGCTTCTGTCCTTGCAGTTGTGTGGGGGTGGGGAGAGGAGGACTCGGGGATTTGTCATAAGCAGCCAAGCTCTCCCGCAGGGCTGAGCTGGGGTGGTGCTCCTGAGGATCAGGGCCCTCCCAGACACCCCACTGCAA